CCCTCAGGACAATCTCTATATGTAAATCTTTGCATGTATTTGTCTAATTAATACTTCTGGCTGGTAGTTCATTTAAGTGATGTTTTCTTCTGTATACTTCATTTGTTTGTTGTATACTTGACATTTACTTAAATAAAGATAAAAAAAATAATAATAATTAAATGTGTCACTGCACAATCTGTTCTGAGACCAGAATCACAATCCGTACCGTGTTCCCGTACTCTGGGTGCAGAAGAGTTGCGCCCAGAATGGTCCTATATCTTGTAATGAAGAGGAGCTATCTGTGCATGTACAACTTTTAACGAGAGTCTATGGTCAAAGATTCTTTTGTCCCCAGGGTGAAAATACATAATCACTTAGCGGCGTTTCTGAAAAAAAAAAAAAAAACTTTACTCATCATTAACTATAATATTTATCTTACACAACTAAAAAAATATATACATATATTTCAAAACATTTTAATTTAAATTTTATTTTATTTTTTTATGTCTTCAAGGTAATATGGTGAGTGGTGTGAGTCGTGGGGTGGCGCTAGCTGCCACTGAAGAGACAAACGACACAACCATTCACTCTCTCACTCACACCTAGGGACAATCAGCCTAACATGCATGTTTTTTGGTCTGTGGGAGGAAACCAGAGTACCTGGAGAAAACCCACGCATGCATGGAGAGAACATGCAAACTCCACCCAGAAGAGTCCCTAGCTGGGATTTGATCCGGTGACCTTCTCACTGAGAGGCAGCAGCTCTATCAACTGATCCACCGTGCCGCCCTCAAAGTGATTCATGTTCATTAATTATATTTTTTTCTCTCTTATCAGCAAGCTCTGGTCCAAGAGGAGAGTCGGGTTCTGTGAGAACATATTCCTGCTAAAGATAAGCACACTGGGTAAGATATTTATTTTTGAGAAACATCACATATTTTGTACTTTAAATTTGTACTTTAAATATATTTTCTTTAATTATTTTCTAGATCTCTACCCCATCCTGAATGAAAACACATTTTTGAAGAAAAAAAAAAAACTAACTAAAGAACAAAAGCAAAAACGGACATGAGAAGATGACCAACAGCATTCGAGTCGTATCACAAAATAATCAAAGACTGAGTGAACGATTCATGAAGAAAAAAACCCGATAAAATAAGAAGTGAATGTCTGTTTATGCATCAGTCTCTTCTTCTTCTGTCTCTTTTGCTTCATCTTGATCCATAGTTGTGGCATGACGCTGTTTGATTCTGTAGAAAGTGGCCATATTGTGAATTCATCTTCTGTTTGAGTCTAAGATGGCAATATCGACACGCTGTATTTATAGTTTTTAAAACGAAAAATTAAAAAACATGCATTCCTGTTCTGATCAAGAGAACTGTACAAATGTTTTCAGTTGATGTGGCTCTGACTTAGACAGAGAAGAGGAAATATTTTACCCAAAACAAAAGAAGACGGTTGGCTGAGATGGAAATTCACCTGCAGAATGTACAGTAGGTGTCTACAAAAAGAAATGAATTATTTGTTCTTAAGCCATAACAGAGCTGAGATGCACAAGTGTGAATATAGGACCAATGACGAAACAGCTGACAAAGTGCTTTATGACGAATTCCTGTCCAAGCTGAGGTGGAAGATTATAGTTAGGGAGCATTTATGTTATGCATGCCAAAAATCAACCATTTTAGAGTGAACTTCATGATATTAACCATTTAAAGATGTGAACGCTCGGGTCAGGACTTTGTAAAACGTGTGCATTTTATTTTTTATCATTTTATGACAACTGCTATTGTGTGTATGTATGTACAGTACGTGCGTGCGTGTATATTAAACAGTATGTTCATTTCATACTTAGTTTAAGGATTGACTGTAATTTTATTTAAGGTTGACAAAGAAAATATGTTTTAATTCATGAACATTTACAATATGCTAACTGTATGTGTACATTTTGAGGGTAAAAAAACAACAAACTGTTATAATTTTGAATTCATATTATTGGAGAGTAGTGGTGAAATTTGAATATAATATGATAACAATAATGATGATGATTGTAAAAGCTGTAATTAAAAAAAAGTATACCTGTAACTTTGTAGGGGAGGTGTGGTTTCATGTTTTTTTTTTAAGTCTTTTTATTAATTTTTGCCTTTTTAGACACAAAAATGTACAAAGCAAAAGAACACTGAACAATATCCCTTCCCACACTGGACCATTCACACAGCATGTTCTCAACAAATGACAGAAAAGGCTGCCAGGTGTCCCAGAATCTTCCTGCAGAACCCTTCAGGGTGGATCTGATTTTTTCCCAGATGGATATGGTGCATGACCTCTCTTATCCAATGTACATAGGCTGGTGAGTGTAGGTTCTTCCGATTACATAGAATGAGCCTTCTGGCCAGAAGAGAGCCAAAGACAATCACATGCTTCTCATATTTGCTAAAGGATATATCCACAGTGACCATCCCAAACAGTGAGATGAGTGGTGGTGGGTGTACAGTTTTGCCACATATCCCAGAGAGCGTGTTGAAAATAGATTGCCACAAAATCTGCAGCTTGGGACAGGTCCAGAATGTATGCAGGAGTGTAGCTGGAGTTTGTTTACAACGATTGCATGCGGGGTCCAAGTCGGCTTTGATCTTGGACAGCTTGTCTTTGGACCAGTGCAGCCGCTGCACTACCTTGAATTTGTGGTTTCATGTTTTGTCTGAAAAGGGTTTGGGCTGCACAGGACTGGAGATGAACCACAGCAGGAAGGGAAACTCTCCAGTGAAGGTTAAAATCCCCCACTCTAAGAAATTATTATTTATCTTTTATAGTTAACGTGTGACACTTTGAGTGGCCCTTTAGCTCAAACTGAAGGACATATGATGTGTGTTTTTATCCTCACACAGTTTTGTTTTACCAAGATAGTGGTAAAAATGGGACCAAGTGCCGAACCCTATAAATTCGCTAGCTCTATCCGTCTGAGTCCTGTACCGTTGTTGGGTTTAGATTAGTTTCCTCTAGCTATTTGGGGTTACGTTGGCTGCGGTAGCTCAGTGCTTGGTGACTCAGTCTTGTAATAATGAGATTGTGGGTTTGAGCCCTGGAAAATCTTTCAATCAAGTTCACTCGCTGTGGTGAACCTTGAAGAAGTTAGCACCGAAAGAACAACATTTGGGATTCGTGGAACCATGTAGACATAATTATTTATTAATTTTTATGTATATTCTTTTTATCTTTAGAGGAAAATGTGCATGTATTCCATACTCTACCATCCAGAAGTAAAGGAGAAGGATTTGCAAATGATTTTAACTCCTATAAAAAGTTGAAAACTATACAAACAGCAAAAGGTAACTATAAAGAACTTCATAATTGTAACCATAAAACTCAAGTTGTGTGGTTTAGTGGCACAAAACTGAAGGACATGCAGACTTTTTGTTTTATTATTGTACAATTGACAATATTAAATAGACATGTATTAAAATACTGAACTAAGTGTTTGTTGTTGGGAGCTGAACGCAGCAGGACATGGCTAATGGAAGTTGCTTAGTTGTGCTTTTGGAACCAATCTGTGCACTATAAGAATGTGAAGCTTTACGTACCACATACAAAGTACATGTACGTACAGAGTTACTGTTTTTTGCAGATTAACTTTTGAAGTCAACTGATGATGGCCACTAAAGCTAATCAACCGTAGCAAACACAAAAACGGCTATAACTCAGTCATGTTGACAGATATGGAGTTAAAATCGGGTGTGATTGTAGCTGAGAGTCATTTTCAACACATACTCTGAGTGTAAAATCACGCAACACTGCATGAGATTGCACATAATGTTATTTTTAAGGTCTTACCAAAATGACAACACTTTTATAATTTCTTACTTTCTTTTAGATGAGGAACTAAAAGAACTGATGAGAACGTTAGCTGCAGTGGTGACTAATGAAACCAGGAACAGGTGTAACTGGGCGTGACAGGAACTGAGTGTGGGAAAGTAACCAAAAACCAATAACAGCCACCATTAAACACAAAAAACTACCAAATAATAACCACAAAATATATATATGCTCAACAACACTTTGCTCACAGCCCCATGTTTGTCCTTGTGTTCTGTTTTTGATTTTAGGTTTATGATTTGATCCATTTATGGTAGTTATTGAAATGCCTGGATTTACTCCACTGCCATCTTCATCGTAGTCCTGGGACATTTTAATGCATATGTTGGTGTTCTACCCAAATCTTTAGAAAGTGTTGTGAAAAAAATAAGTTTTTATTCTTCATGCCGGGCAGCGTTTGTTAAGCGGTGAGTTTACGGTCTGTGCTCTGCACAGCTGCAGTCCTGTAAACAATCCCTCTGCCTTATAAATCAGCTTCTCCCACTCCTTCCTTCTTTTTGCCTTTCTCAAACACTCACATCCCAAATAAGATAAACAGCATAAAGTCCATAAAACAGTCTACGTCACCTCTTCAAAAACAATGATTATTTTTTATTATTATTTAGCAGGTGACTCAGAGAGACAGCTTTGTTACATCTTCATTCAGTTTTGTAATTAGTTTATTTCCAAGTGGACGGACACTTGGGAAGTCACGCTAGGTTACAGTAAACGGTTTTGTCCCCACATGACGGAGCATTTTTACAGCTCAACGTGATTTTTACGGCGGTGCGTTGAAGCATCTTGCGGTAATAAAACAGTTGATATAAAACAGTGACCTGTTCATTGTTGGAATGTGTTGAATGTGAGAGAATTGATGCTTTAAGGATTGGAAAATATGTCCAAGTTCATTTAAGTATTTACAGATAAATCACAAGAATCCATTTTAAAATGCTTATTTTATGTGAACTCCATACATAGTGTGAAGAAGCAGGACTTCCTGTCAGCCCTCGAACCCACTTTAATAAACCGTAAGTAGAAATGTCTGACTCATTCTTACCATCAGGAAGTTGGACCTCCTTCTCCTAAACCCTTTAAAAGGCCACCAAACTTCCTCCTGTTCAGAAGTCGCTCAAAAGGGGGGTTTCAATTTTTATATTTATTTATTTATTTTAGTTTTCTAAATTATTTATTTATTTTAATTTAATTTTTCGGTCCTTCGGCAACATGTTTTTGTTCCAGAATAAGACTTTTGTCCACAATGTATTGGTTTTTTTTATTCTCCCATTTCCCTTTTCACGTTCATTTTATCTTCCTGAATCCAATCCACTCCTGTCTTTCAAAAACCACGTCCGAGAGGTGCACCTATACACAGGTAATGGATTATTTCTGCTTTATTTGAATTGTTTTCGTCACTTCTTTGCATAAAATGGAAACACTAATGAGAAAGAAGTTTTGCAGGTGTAAACGTTTTATATTTTTTTTATGCCTTGATTGCAGAAAACCACAGACGTGGGATGTTTCTTCAGATAAACCTGGATGGGAAAGTGAGTGGCAGCGATGCTCAGAATGCTTACAGTGAGTATACGTGTGGATAAAATGGGAACAGACATATTTGAGCCTAAACAAACAGAATGGATGAAAGCTGAAGCTGTTACTGTTTGCAGGCGTGCTGCAGCTGAAATCAGTCAAACCGGGTCATGTAGTCATCAGGGGGCCGTCATCATCCCTGTTTCTCTGCTCAGACAGTGGAGGGCATCTCAGAGGGCAGGTGAGGAAAAATGTACAACACTTTAAACTTTGATTCATCGTGTCGTTCTCCTCGCTGACAAATGTCCAACTGTTTTCATGCTCAGGGTGTATACGAGGAGGCCGACTGCTGCTTCACAGAACTGCTGCTGGCTGACGGATACACCCGCTTCCTTAACGCACATCATGGGACCCCTGTGTCGCTGGCACCCAGACTATCCCCAGATCAACACTCGGTCCCTTTCACACGATTTTTACCGCTCGGGAATACTTTACCATCGGAGATTCTCTCTGAGGAACCAATAAAAACCCAGAGGAACCTCAACGTGGGTTCAGATGACCCTTTTGGAATGGGACTACACACCATGGTTAGTCCTCAGTTGGTGTTGGACAAGTAAATTATTGTTTTGCACAAAAATGTTTGTGTCTTTAACTTATTTTTTTAATTATTCAAAAACTTCAGCTTGGTTTTCAGCACATTTTTAAGAAAGTTTAAGTTTATTGATGTAAGTTATTTATTTATTTCATGTGCCGTGTGTTTCTTATTTAATGTTTATTTAAAGATTGTTATTTTGTCTGAGGTTAGTGATTTAAAAAGAGTTCTGTCTCTAAATGAACTGGATTATGTTGCAGGAGCTCATTGTTGTGAGGCTTTTAAACTTTTGCCAGCATTAGAAAATGTAACACTTTGTTTAAAGTTGAGACATATGAGTGAAAGGGCTTCTTTCTGAGTTAAATTTAAAGAGCAATAGTTTGTTCTATTGTTATCTTGTGATTTTTTTGAATAAAAATATATCGAAAGTTTGTATCGGTTTGGTTGATTTAGAAAACGAATTAAACTCTTTTGAGTGGTTGTTTGAGATCACAAATATATTTAAACTTAGTGATTATTTTAAATAAATTATAATACTAATCAAACATAAATTATTTTTGTTTTAAACACTAATTATATGGCATGTTTGGGTAACTTTGTCTCGACTTGAATGACATTTGTTCACATTTTTCAATGGCTCCTGAAAATAAATAAAATAGATTGTCTTCACTTTAACTTAAAGTTTTATTTATTAATGGTTCAAATAAGAAACTTTTGAACCCTCTCATCATGACTGGCCTCCAAGGTTAAGTTGTGACAATAATATTTCACTAATTTTACAATAATTTAAATAAAATGAAAAGTTTTTATCATTATTATATTAAAATTAGTTCATTTCATAATTTTCATTTTTTAAGTATTTTTATTACAACTATTTTGTAAATAGGTTGTAAAACTAATTGCTGAAATATAAAAACAGGCAAAAATCTGCTTTACAGTGTAAACAAAATGTTTCTGCAAAGTCCTATTCTACCTCAAATAACCCAAAATAATTCTGAATGAATATTGTCCTTATCCATATTTTTTGTAAGACTCTTTTTTTCTTTTTTGCAATGAGACAAAAATAAAATGGAACAATGAGAAAAAAATCAAGTAGAACAATTAAAGAATAAAGTTTTTGCTCATCTATGGATAATTGCGTAAGGACGAGTGCCCTCTAGTGGACAAAATGAATATTAACCAAATTTAACAAGTAAAAACGGTTGTTTCGGTAAATTAATTAAAATAACTTTGACTCATGATCTGTCAATCTCTCTCTCTTTTTTTTTTTTACAAAAGATTATTTAAATTTATTTTATTCGTGTTCTTTTCCTATTTCATATCATTGGCATCATGATGGGTCAGAGGTTAGCACTGTTTGACATCAAGAAGGTCCTGGTCCAATCCCTGGTTTTCTCTTCTAAAGGAGATCTGTGATCTCAAAAACATATGCCTGGTTAAAAAAGGGTAAAACAGAAAACAAATAAATTCATTTGAAAAGTTATATATTTCTGGTTTAGACGTGTATAAAGCCATCTGATGCAAATTTGCAATAAAATGCTAACAAAATCTACTTATCTTTAGAAATAAAAAAATAAAAATAAAAACCTCTGAGCTTCCTTGTTGAATAACAGCTGTCCTGTTGGCAAATATTTTCTTAAATTTAACCAAAAAGCCTAACCACGCAACGAGAAAGTTTATTTTAATGACGTACAGTTAAAAATCACACGGATAGTCTTGTGTGTGATCTCTGCACAAATCATTTGTTTTTGTAAGGACAGATCTGGGTTTCATCTAAAAGAAAAATGTGTTTAATCTATTAAATATTTTGTTATTAATAAGCTGACACAGTAAAGCACATTATTAAAGAACAAGCAGGGAAATGCTGGTCTGCATACCTTCCACAGGTCATCACTGTGATGGAGTGGAAAGTTTTATGAAACTGAGAATCACTTTACTGGAAGCTTTCTGCATATAATAACTTAGTAAATCTAAAACAACAACAAAAAAAAGACTAATCGCAAAACTACAAGTGCTAAACACAGACGGACTGGTAAAGAGTACTTAGAGTTGTAGAAATCTAAAAAATTATAAACAAATTGATATATTTTCTATTTTGTATGACATAAAGTAAGACTTTAAAAGGATACAAACAAAAGGCAAGTGCATACTAACATAATTCTTTCAATAATTCTTTTTAAAAAATGAGTCAGTAACACTTTGATTAAAAGAAAATAAATAAAATAGAATCTTTATTATAAACTTTGAGTGCATTTTAAGCAGAATAGCACATCGCAGAGCATAAACCATAAATACAAAGAAATGAGTGCATGTTTAAGCAATGCTACAGTGTTGCAGGTGACCTGACGAGCCAAAACTACCGTAATTTTCAAACTATAAGGCGCACTTAAAATCCTTTAATTTTCTCAAAAATCTACACTGAGCCTTATAATCCGGTGTGCCTTATGTATTAATTCTGGTTGTGCTTACTGACCTCGAACTGATTTTATGTGATACAAATGAACAATGTCGGGAGTTATTGTGAATAAGTTGAATAAATTAGACTTATGTGGCTGTTTTGTTTCGCTTAATGCACATTATACTACGGTGCGCCTTATAGTCCAAAAAACACGGTGCTCAAACTTGAGCTCAGTGTTCACAGCAGAGTGTGGATCTGGTTTAAGAGAGATTTGAGTTTTTTTGTTCAGAATCAGGTCTGCTGGTTGAGTTCTGGTGGGCCGGATCAATAATCTACTTTACTTCCACTTCAAACTGTAAGGCAAAAATAACTAAGACGTCATAGCTTCAAGGCACAGATGCTTTACAAGCTGTTTTCATATCAAGCTGAAGACATTCATAAATAGTTTTTCATTTTATGACCCTGAGAAAAATGAAGCTGCAGTTTTAACTGGCTAGTGCAGCAGTAAATGACAAGTAAATGAGCCAGAAGAGGAAATATAAAGTTGTTTGGAGGTATATCAGTGCTAATCTGAGCGTACTGCACAAAGTACCAGCTGATGGTTTACAAGGTTCTCTTTTCCAGAACATCCTGATCTTCAAAACTGTCCATTTTTCATGTTTTTACTCACTTTCTGTTATTGTCTAAACCTTCTTTCTAAACCTGTGTGACCAGTGGTTCGCTGACGTGCGTATTTCCTCTGTCTTCTGCGATCTGGCCAGATTCTAGTCCTCCAAGTAAATTCCCATTGAGAGGATTGTAGATTTCATCAGTGTTGTAATAATCTGCCTCTGGATCCCTGTCCCCGTCCTCTGTCTCCTCGCCTTCAGGCTCCCCGTCCTCCCACAGCGTTGACTGCACATGACTGTACTCGGTTTGGTCCACGCATTCCGTCTCCCGGTGGTAGAAGTAGCTGAAGTTGGACACTATAACAGGCACGGGCAGTGAGATGGTCAGAACACCAGCGATGGCACACATAGAGCCCACCATTTTCCCCCACACTGTGACTGGGTACATGTCGCCATAGCCTACTGTAGTCATGGTAACGACTGCCCACCAGAAGCCATGTGGTATGCTGACGAAGTCTGTTTTGTGGTGGTCAGCTTCTGCAAAGTAGACGGCGCTGGAGAAGAGGATGACGCCGATGAACAGGAAGAAAATCAGGAGGCCGAGCTCGCGCATGCTGGCCCTCAGTGTCTGGCCAAGAATCTGGAGGCCCTTCGAATGTCGAGAGAGCTTGAAGATCCTGAAGACCCTCACCAGTCTGATAACCCTGATGATGGCCAAGGACGTAGCTGGAGAGGCGTCGTCATCTTTGACCAGCTCTGTTCCCAGAGTGACAAAGTACGGCAGGATGGCGCTGAAATCGATGATGTTCATGACGTCCTTGAAGAACTGAGTCTTGCTGGGACAGCAAGCAAAGCGCATGATGAGCTCAAAGGAGAACCAGCAGATGCACACGGTCTCCACCATGAAGAAAGGATCGTGGAAAATACTTGGAGGAGGAGGCGCGTTCTCAGAAGCATTCTTAGCGTGGGAATGGTGCTCCTGAAGAGGAACAGACAGGAAACACAGGGAGAGTCTGAAACAATCTGCAAAGGCACGAACACAAAAGCTGAAATACTGAATAATAACTATACATTTATTTAACGTAAAATAAAAAAAGAATATCATGGATTCTTACTGCAACATTTCCATTGATGTTCAATGAAATGAAATAGCTAGATTAGCATTAAATCTGAACTAGTATTTGGAATGAGGAGCATCCAGAGAGGCTGACTAACAAGAATAAATATATATATAATATTAAGAGGAAAAAATACTCTATACAATTGGTTTTGTAAGATTAGCATTTGGTCATATTTTATAAAACATCTTTGTTGTTTTCAAGGGTTTTGTGGTAGCATTATCAAAAATATCCAAAGTAACAGAATCCAGTTTCCAGCACCTGCAAGATCTCAAAAATATTATATTTTAATTGTTCTAAACAAATATTTTCATGACAAAAGTAGCGAGATCTAAACTTAATCTTATTCTTTTGATGTGATTTTTTTTAGGAATGAAGAGACAATTATTATCTTAAGATAACTTAGGTTCATCTTGAGAAAACAGGTTTTGTTATTGTGACTGTGATTCAACAATTAATGTTTTGCACATTATGACTAAATTAATCTTTTCATATTGATGCTATGACACCTGGAAATGATGCATTACAGCAATGTACTGATCAATGCAAGAGCTGTGACATGAGCTGCCAGCATGACTGCTCTGATATCGAATGAAAAAGGAGCATGTTTTCATTTGAGAAAACTAAAAAGGACATTATCAAGAAAAAAATTACTTTTCTAGGTTTAAAGATAATTAAAAAAAAACTATTTGTCATTTGAAAACTTATTAGCCACCTTGAGTTATATAATGAAAATAAATTTATAAGAATGTCTACTCTTATATATATGTGTACGTCTATGTATATATTTTTTTTACTTTGTTAAAATCAGGTCTCTCTTGTAAATGAGTTCTCGTGGCTCAATGGGATTTACCTGTTTAAATAAAGGGTAAATGAAAAAAATATATATATATATGTATACACTTTGTACATACAGTGTATATATATATATATATATATATATATATATACTGTGTATGAAATCCTTGAGCTTTTCGATGTGAGTCCTTAACTGAACAAGTGAGCTATAAGATGTAAACAGAGCTTGTTCCCTTCATTCACAGTATTTTTGGCTAGGCTAACTGGCTATATATTTCAGTGACATATTTAGCCTGAGCACATCGTCTGGTCTGAGTCAGAAGACCAATTCTGACCCAGACCTGCAGAAAACTGATGAGCTCTCAAACTCCTCTTTCAGATGCACATCTGCTTCCAAAAACGCCTCTGAGATTTGAGCTGTTTCAAAAAGAAAGACTGAACTTGGGCGTGTTTTTGACGCTCTCTCGTCCGCTCTCGCTCCCGGCAGCATCTTAAAAGCGTTTCACACGTGCAGCTTCTTGATCTCCTCTCAGCCCACCTGTTGTTCCATCTGGCCTGTCAGTTATCATCATATTCACACTCTGGATGGATGATGTATAAAACATGTCTCGCTCACCATCCAGTCAAAAACACAGCAAATGGACGGCATGAATATAAAATGAATTGTTTTGTCGGTTGTAATGAGTTGTGTTTAATATATAAAATTGCAGAGCAGTTAAAATGCACTCATGACTTTCAGTAGCAGGTCAGTGACAGTGTTTATTACTAAAGGAGGACATGTACAGTATGTGTTGATGAGTTCCAAGGGTTCTCCTAAGACTAAATATAACCATTTGAGAGCTCCGAAGAGAAACATGAGTGTCTCATGCACCGCTTCTCATTCGCCTCCACCTTTGTCGCTATTCCAATCTCCCTGGCTGCTGCCGCCTGGTGTAGCATTGCCAGTGTGGTTGAGTGGCTGCGCAGACAGGAATAAGTTACAGTAGTTTCCTGGCAGCAATGCCAGCCTGGCAAAGCACAGGAGTCCTGGAGGATTATGTGGACACGACCGAGTGTATGCTACTCATCCGGGGAGACCTTTAGTTTGGCTCTAAGCCACCGGTGGGGCCTGCACCTCTGCCCATGTGCACGAACACTTGTGACCTTTTGCTAACACACCTAACTGTGTCTTCGTTCCGTCTCTCCACTCAGCCGTTTGTATGCTACCTCTCAAAAGTCTCTGGACCCTTCCTGAATTCATATCAAATTTAACAGCCGGCTAAAATAATCACACCCAGAGCTTCCTGTAGTCTCTCTCTCGTCTGCTTCCAGGCACATTGGCCAACAAATTCTCATGCCAGTATTTTTTCTCTGAACACACTCTAGTGCACCCTCCATGTGAGCGCTTACCTAAACATCTCATGTTTCTTTTGACCTAAATGTACATGTGTCATACAAAATCTCACGCCCTGCAGGTTTGAGGTGGAGCTCGTTAAATGTGCGTCTTGGGGCTGTTGGCAGGTTAAATTAACTACTGTCATCAAAGACGTAAAAATATAAAAGTTTGATCTTTTTTATTGTTGTTAAGGATGAGCCAAAGGGAGTCTTTTGAAAGGACACGTTTCTTTCAAAGATTTAAATTTGGACTGGGGATATGGTTCTTTTCTTCTTACCAACTGTGCCACCTTCGCAGCCCCGCATCCAATTAAATTGTAAAGATGACGTAAAAACTTTCAAAGGATCAATTATTGGCTGTAACTCAATGGTGATGCTATTTGACTTGGTTTCCAAGTCAAAACTTTTGGAAAGCTGGAACTATGGAGGCGTTAGTCTAGTTTATGACACTTGACTAGAAAGAATCAAGACTTGTTTAAAACCAGCAGACTCTTTTTGTCTCAAGAATCAGGTTTAAACCATCCCTGACAAAGTTTTAGGGCTGGTGAACTGTACATTACCTTTTACACTTTTATTATTTTCTTAGTGTACATAATGTCACTGCAGCCCACTGTTCGTTAATCTAGATTCTCAGACGTCCAGGACATGACAATCCTAAGTAGCTCAACGAAGCGCTTCGGATCATCTCTTCAAGAGAAGATCGGTACTCTTTCATCGACTCACTGAGGAAATCACACTTTCTGTGCTCGCTTGTGTCTCCTTCCTGTTCTTTTCATCCAACCAGCAGATGGCCGCTATTTGTTACAGAGGTGTTTTTTCTTTCTACTGTCGCCTGTCAACTTGTGCATGCTTAGAAAAAAATAACCGAACTGAAGTGATTTGTTTCTTAACTCTTTTAAAGCATTGGCTTTTTGTAACTAACTAAACCTTACTGTTTGTAAGCTCACTCATCTGGATAACAACAAAAAAGATTAAATCGTGTCATCTGGACCAGTTCCTTTAAGTGAGAAATGTTTCGTGTCCCATCCAGAGGACTTCGTCAGTTTGCAGCCTGTCGATTAGATCTGTTCCATAGGTAGCCTTCATTGCTGTGTTTCAAGCCAACCTCCTGTTGGAATCTCAGAAGCAGGTTTTTAACGTGTGCAAACAGGACCCATCCATCCAAAACCATCATCAAGTACAACAATCAAATGTTTTAAGCCAGATGGCCAACATTGTTGTCCTCAGGCTGTTCTGTGAGTAGCAAGTTGGACAAAACCTACTTCTGAGATTCCAACAGGAGGTTGGCTTGAAGCACAGCAGTGAAGGCTACCTAAGGGACATGTCTGGTTGGAAGGCTGCAGACTGATGAAGTCCTCTGGATGGGAGGCAAAGCGTTTCTCACTTAAAGAAAACGGTTGATGATTTAACTTTTTTTGTTTAAAACCTTACTGTATTATATTAGACGTTAGCCCTAAGTGAATTAAAATGCACTGAAGTGGGTTTGAATTGTGATTGAACTTTTTTGTGACTGATGAAGTCTTTCGAATGAAAGGTGAAACGTTTTTTCCAAAAAGAAACTGTCTGGATGACATGACTTTTTTGTGATTTATTTACCTGGATGATTGAGCGTACTTACTCTTTTTTTTTTTTTTAACTAAGTTGACTTTTATTGTTTAGTGCTGTATATATTCTCTGAACTGAACATGACTGAATGGAGTTAGAACGCCTTTTTTGCATTTCTCAGTTTATTTACCTGTGCTAATCAGTCATACAACATAACTACAGATTATACTTTAATTTGATATGTAAATTTAGGCATATAGTTTAAAGAACAAAAATTAAAATATACTTTTTAAGCTCATTTAAAGCCCTGATAGGCTTGTGGATGAAATAGAAAGCTCTGTGTGAATGAGTGAATAGCAAACATTTAGCAGAACCTGCATTAGGTTAAAAATCTGGGATTATTTTACCAATTAATCTGGTTTAAAACAGCTTTTAAAACACAAATTGTACTTCCAACCTCTTTCTTGAAGTCAGGGAGCGTCTCCAGACAGAAGATGAGAATGGACAGCACAATCACCATCACGCTGATGATAGCAATGATTCGGGCCCCTGATGAAGACTCGGGGTGTTCAAACAGCTTCCACAGCTTTTTCTGAACCTCATTGGATGGCAGGGGCCTCTCCTCCTCTTTTGGGAAACCCTCGTCTTCCTTGAAGCGGTTCATGATGTCCTCTCCGAGCTCGTAAAACATCAGCTCGTCCATAAAGATGTCCAGCGGTATGTTTGCAGGCCTGCGGAGCCTCCCGCCTGACTGGTAGAAATACAGAATGGCATCAAAGCAGGCTCGGTTGCGGTCCAGGAAAAGCTCGTTTCGAAGCGGGTCGAAGTATCGTGATCTCCTCCTGGGATCACCAAGCAAAGAGTTGGGGAACTGGGCTAATGTTCGCAGCTGAGTCTCATACCTCATCCCTGAAACATTGATGGCCAGCCGTTCGCTCAGAGCCCATCCACTCCTCCACAGAGAGCCTGAACGCCGGCGCTCTTTCTTCTTCTCTTTCTTATTGCCTTTGTTCTCCTTCTCTCCCTTTTCCTCACTGTTGAGCTGGTCCTTCAGAAGTTCAGTCTTCTCCCTGCCTCCTCCTTCAGTGGGCTGGAGGTCCTCGTTTTCCATCCCAGACCGTCAGACCACCTCACTCTCCTGAGAATCTGTTGAGCAACTGGACTTAAAGGCAACTCCTGCCTAAAACCAGAAACAACCATCAGTGATTTTCAGGTAAACACTTCTGCAAGTGGCAGGACAGATATCATAACAGACTCTTTTTAGAAAACTTGATATCTAGAAATGCAGTTTGTTATTAAATGATTGTACTTTGCTGCAAAGCAGAACAGAAAGTGAACCAAAATGCACTCACTTTGTTAAACAGCTGCTGACTGAGACTAACGGCAGGATGAAAAGTCACATCTTTTGCCTCCTGCAACTCGTCAGGTCTTCTGTCTTCTTCTCTGTCATCATTGCTACCAGTCACATAAATAGGCTCCTAGTTGGGCTGTCTGCTTTCAGCCAGCACAGCGGCCCAGAGTCCAGCTAAACCACTGATCTGCTTGGACACAACCTCTGCCTCCAGTTGTTTGCTCAAGGAACATCTAGGATCTTGGCCTGTCCCTCACCGCCTGAGGTTTTTAGGAATGCTGCCGTGTTGTAATTGGATCTTTGCTAGACCCGTCCAACCCCTCCCTGTTCTTTCCTCTCCGTTTTGGCCAGGAGGCATGACAGCCTTCAACCTCCCTATCGAATGTCACATTTGCCCAACGCAGCGTGGTGCTTTGACTGACAGGACTCATTCACTGTGTATTAATAATGCAGAGTCTAATTAGACGTGTCTGAAACAAATAAAAACTGCAGTTGGTCAAACAATGATTGTTAGGCTGTAAAAAAAAAACCTCTAAAATGATTGAATTGCTAAATCCATGCAACAATAGTTTTATTATAGTTTTTGTTTCTGTGCACTTTCTTGTTGCAAAGTTAATTTTTTTAATATAGCAGTGCCAATTGGTAAAGCAACTGGGCTTTTTAAAAATTATTCTGAATAGTTTGTAAAAGCTGGTTCAATTATTTATTTATTTCAAATTTACTAAACTTTTTAAGTTCAAACCTTCAAAAGTGTGGCACACTAATAGTGTCCACATAAATATTTAGCCAAAAATATGAAAAAATATGAGAAATGACATGCCTTTTTCTCTTTCTGTTTTGAAAACCTTTTAACCGTATAGTTTTAAGGCCCTGTGTGGATAAGTTTAAAATCTTTTGTAACAAAGGATAAGTAACAAAAATCTAAAAAGTATAGAAAAACGTATTTCTACTTGTGCTTATAATATTAAAAAAAAAAATCTGGTTGGTAAATGCTGGATGCCTTTTAAGGAAAAGGCACAAAAAAAAATAGGCATAGATTATTAACTATTTTTATTATTAAATATATAATGCCGTATTTGTTCAGGAAAGAATGTAAGAACAATTATCTTGAAAAAAACCAAACTTATTTGTTACATGTCTAGAACTAGGACATTTTTAGTAAATATATCCCAGACCTGAACCATTAACCAAAAACTTACAATACCTATTTGTTTGTTTTAATTTAATTTCCTATATACCTTGTTGTATATTTTCAAATGCTTATTTTTGCCCTCATTTTTCATGAGCTGCACTCAAAGATTTAAGACTTATTTTAAGTGCACAAAAGGCCTTTTTCTCTCAGTGTAAATCTGTTAGTGAGCACTTCTCCTTCACTGAGATCATCCATCCACCTCCCAGGTGTGGCATGTCAAGATGCTGACTAGACAGCCTGCTTTCTGCACAGGTGTGCCTTAGGCTGATCACAAATGTGCAGTTTTATCACAGCACAATGCCACAGATGTCACAAGTTATAAGGGAGTGTGCAATTGACATTCCTACAATGTGTTAAATAATAAACAGTGAATTGCATGTATATGCCCATATGACATGATTTAACCCTTTATTTGTAATTTATCTACCAGGATGTTTGAGCTTTCGAATCTTTTTACCAGAATAATTTCTGCAGGGAACATAACTGTGTATTACCACCAGAGGGCGCTTATGTTCATCCAGGAAAGGAAAGCAACCAAGCAGTTTGATGAGATATTCATAGAAAAAGTAAAATAAAATGCTTTCCTGTCTTTGATTGACAGACATCCCATTCTGATTTGACTGAAATAAAAGTTTTGTCTTAAATGTGGACTCCAAGTTAAAGAAGATGAAGGCCTGAGTGTAGAGGGAATAGTTCAGCATGATATAAACTTGCCCTATCTTTCTACACAGAAAATGTAATGCAGATTGCAATATTTGTGTGGTTAATAATTGAGAAATCAAAGACAATTTCTGTCCCTCAAATATTTAATGCTGAGGAGCCACACTGTAAAATTTGACAAGTTGTTTGAACTTAAAAATATGAGTGAACGTGCAGAATTTAACCTCCAAGTTAATAAAAATCGATATTTTCTAAACATTTTTTAATATAAACCTCCTATTGCACCTGTTTTAACTTGATTGACTTGGAATGATTATTTAATTTAACTTCTTTAGGTAGTTTGTTAAAAGTGAATTTCCCTCTCATGGATAAACACAGCGCTTACTGACCGAGCAGCCAACATTACAGTTTCATTTTAAACCGGTGTGAGAACCGTTTTGTTCCACAGGAAATTATTTAAATTAGTTAATTTCTTGAAATACGTTGAGTAATTATTTGAATGTGTACTTGTATCTAAGCTCAGTCAAGTGTACAAAGTGATTTGAATTAAATTTATAACCTGAAGAATGTAAACCAACATGCGGCCTGTTGAAACAACTTTTAGTATGAAGGATTTGTTTACAGTATTTAAGGCCAAATGTTAGGTTGGTTGGAAAATCATGGAAGTGAAAACTCAAATTCAGCCAAATATGTTGTGCAGAGGGCGGCACGATGCTCAGCTGGTGGAGCTGTTGCCTCTCAGTAAGAAGGTCGCCAGGTCAAATCCCGGCCGAGAGCCTTTCTGGGTGGAGTTTGCATGTTCTCTCTGTGCATGCCTGGGTTTTTTCCCGGATACTCCGGTTTCCTCACACAGACCAAAAACATGCATGTTGGTCTGATTGGTAACTCTAAATTCAGAACCAGAAAAAAATTTATTGTAATTGCACAGTTAAGTACAGCAAAATTATGTTCCGTACAGCCGTCCTAAAGATGGACGAAGATGTACAGGGGTTGCAGCTTCTAAGAAGCAGTACCCTTATTGCTTGTCTAATTGCTAAATTGTCCCTGTGCGTGAGAGAGTGAATGGTTGTTTGTCTCTATGTGTCCCTATGATGGACTGGAGACCTGTCCAGGGTGTCCCACGATTCTCTCACAGTGACTTCTGGACCAGTGACCCTCGAAACCCAAAAAAGACCAAGTGGGTAAAGATGATGGATATGTTGTGCAGAACGGTTTTAGACGTGAGGGAGGGAGGGCAAAAACCGTGACACCATAAACCTTAAAGAACCCACATGTTTCTTTTTCAGAAATAGATCCTGTCTAACTGAATGCTAGGAAACATAACTGCATCTTTCCTTCCCTCCATTGACTACAGTGATATTATTTACATGAACGCTCCTGTAAGAACCTTGCAGATGTTGGACACTTTCACGGTGCATTAAGATTCATAACTGGCTGTAACTACCGTACCCACCACTGCACCCTGTATTCACTGGTTAACTGGTCATCACTGACTTCACGCAGACTCTCTCACTGGTACATTTTCATCTTTAAATCACCTCTTGGTCTGCTGCCTTCATACATCTCCTCCTACATGTCTCTGCGTGAGTGCAGCTACAGCGTGCGCTCTTAGGACATCATTACCTGCAGTGTCCCCTCAGTGAGAACTGAACTAGACAAAACGGCCTTCTCCTACTTCGCTCCTGTTTCCTGGAATATTTTGCAAAAAGATCTGAAGCTCTTGACCTTGACCTCTCTAAGTGGCTTCAAACATCTGCTAAGTTCATGGCAAAAACCAATGCAGGCATGTTCCTGTTTTTAGTATTTTACATCACTTTACAACCTAGCTGTTTTTGTTTTTTAATATAATTTTCTTCCATTTATTTTTTTATTTATATGCCTTATTTTATGATTGTCTACTGTTGTCGTTGTTGTCCACTGTTCTCATGATTCGTTGTTAAAAACAGGTCTCTCTTGTAAATGAGTCCTTGAGGCTCAATGAGACTAACCTGTATAAATAAAGGTTGAATGAATATCCCTTACTTAATTACCTAACTTAATTTTTCCTTTTGTAGTAAACACATTTTAATAGTTTCTGTATAAATCGTCAAACGGGAATAATAATAAGAAGACATAACAAACAAGCAAAAACCCATTTTACAGTGTATTAAAAAACATTCTGTATCTTATAAATTTGGGCACTGACAAAAAGCATGTTGCCAAATTTTGAGTCACATCTAATGTGTCATTCTTGTTTTTTTTATTATTATTATTATTTGAACAGTTCATTGTGCTTTCATTAAACTCGGATCATAAGAGTTGTGTTGTGGTTTTCAATCAGAGAAACCGTGTTCACATTTTCACATCGTCGTTCTTCAGAAACATGTAACGTAAAACAAACCGACACACAAACGAGATGACCTTTTCCTTTATTTTAAGTTGATCTCAATGATTTTTAAGCCATTTTATTATCTCTGAAAAAAGCATCTCATGACTGGTAATCAGGTATTCATTCAAGCTGTAATGGAAATTGGTTCACATTAGATCGCATTGACATTCATACATTTTAAGTCTCGATAGTAGAAATATGTTCAATTATGACTATTATAATTATAATTATAATTATTATAATTATTGATATGTCTCTATTTTTTTCTCTTCAAAATATAAAAAGATAGATCATGAACATTCCGTTGAAATATACTTTATACAGATCTTGATGAGTTGTTCTTTGTGTCCCAACATTTCAAAAATGAAATCCGGCATAAGTCAGAACCAGACGCTCCAGTGACCACCTTTTCTCCCAATTCGCTCTCCTACTAAGACCGCAGTACAGTGGACCAGTACTTAAGTCTGTTTTATACAATAAGTAGCATGTGAAATAAATCTTTGGGATGCTTACGTGGATACATGATGCACAAATGTTAAATTATTTTATTTAGGTTTGACTTTAGTCTTTCTTTTCTAATTAAAATAACATTTGATATATTAGAAAATCTATATAATATGATATATTATCTCCTAAAGAAACTCTAGTCTTATCAATTTGTAAAATAAAATAGCTTTTAGATATACGTGATTGCTAAGTAACTTCATGGAAAGCCATAAAGCCACAACATATTGCGGTCATCCGAAGTGATGACAGCACATATGTGTCACAGGGAGGATACAGTAAGTGTCGATCAGTGGCATTCATGGTGCAGATTGCATACAGTGTCCTCAATTAAAAGGATAAAACAAGCAACACATTGAACAAAAACAGGCATGTAAACAAAATGAACTGAATGTGTCGTCCAAGAACCTCTTGAAACCTTTCAAACATCTGCAGAAGACGTATTTCAAAGCAGCCATTATCAGCACCTACTTCCCGTGTAAAGCATTTTGGCTCTTTTGGTTGTGAGTTTTCTTTCAGCAAATCTATAACATTTCCTAACAGACGGCAACTTCCTAAAATAAAACAGACTTAACACTCTCCACATTGCATCTTATCCTGTTTTCTGTCAAAATCAAATGGCAGTTTTATGCATTAGAAAGGAAAAGACATCTTTTTTTTGTTTTCCAGCCTGGTGTTGGCCGACTAGGAGAACGGGGACACGGTAAACTTAACAGAGCAGAACAATGGCCTGAGGAAAATAAAAATTAAAAAGGAACAATTCTTGATTATAAAAATACAAACAGTTGGGTGAAGCACAAAGTTTTTGCAGGTGTGCACACCCCCTCCTAAAGTCTCATCAACATCTCTGCAACCATCAAAGCCATAGTGATCGTAATGACTTTCAAAATGAAAACATGAAAATGTGCTATAT